GTTTCTCGCTCGGAAACTAACTTTCGTTTGGTTAGTTTCTCGCTCGGAAACTAACTCGATGGCGGAGGGTTTGTTTCTCTGGAAACTAACAAACTTTGGGTCAACCGTATATGCTCATGTGAGGACCATACATCTTAAACATGCCACATTTGGCGATTCCCCGTCATCATATATATTAAACAATCCCCCCCCCCCCGCCTCGTTTGGCGATGCCGGTTCATCATATATCTTAAATGCGCCTCCTCATTTGGCAATATCGGTTCACCATGTATCTGAAACACACCCCCTCATGTGGCGGTTCCGGTTCGCCATATATCTTAAACATGCCGCCCCCCTTATTTGGTGATTTCGGTTCATCATTCTCATTTGGCGATATCGATCAATCATATATCTCAAACACTGGCGGACCGACTGCCCGGCGCTTGGCGCATGGACCAACCGACCGACCGCCCGACTGACCGACAGACGGGCATGCTGGCACACCGACCGACGCACCGACTGACCGACTGACTGACTGACTGACTGACCGCTCGGTTGGCTGACCGACGGACTGACTGACCGCTCGTCTTTGGACGACCGACTGACCGACTGACTGACTGACTGACCGCCTGGTTGGCTCACCGACTGACTGACTGACTGACTGACTGACTGACTGACTGACTGACTGACTGACCGATCGACTTATGGACTCACATGCCCACTGAACCGAAAACCCAAAAATACCCAGAAAAAACCCAAAACAAATACCCAAAAAGAACCCCCACCCTTGGATTGGTTACGAATCAATGCGACAAAACAAGCTGCATGCCAAAACATGAGCAACGAACGAGAACACGCCACTCCAACAGGCGGCGACGTCAGGAACCGCCACTCAAAGCGGCGACGCGAACGAACGAACGAACTGACAAGCTGCTATCCCCTGCGTTCCAGGCCTCTCCGGTCGCAAAACACACCACGACGCCCATCTCCAGAGTCCTGTTTGCAAGGATGCCGTGTTGACGTTGTACTACTTCAAGAAAATGTCGGTGCAACCAGTTTTCCCGGTTGTTTGGGATTTCGATTCTCACACTCGGTGCATGCAAGAATTCACGACAAGGGTATATCACCTATCTGAAGAAGCTGACGGGCTGTTGATGGACAACGGGTCGCCGCGACGGAGCAAAAGCGCAGTGATCTGGTGGCCCTGCACTGAAAATCCAAGCCGTGGCTTTCGCCTTCTACGGTACGAGTTGTCCATATCTCCTCATGATCGTTAACATCGAAAAGTCAAAGGCAGACCCTTGACGATGCAAAAACCTCACCCGACAGTGTGTGCGAGTAGAAAATTCCTTCAAAAAGAGCGAAGCCGGGTGTACCAAAACTTCGCTTCAAAGGTCCTGTCGGAGCTGCATGAGCTGCTCAGGGACCTCATGCAGTCCTCCTGATGCCTGGCAAAAACAAGTGCCAGCTGCTGACATCTTGGCAAGACAGCCTCCGGATGCTTGAGCATGCTGGAGGCTGCTGGAGCCTGTTCGGCTCATGGATGAACTTCCAGTGCAGCTGCTTCGCCTCACCGTTGCAAAGGAAGGCATCGAGGTGTCACGAGGCTCACACGACACAAAAGTATCCACTGCACGACTCTGCACGACTTGCACGAAACGGCCTTCTCGGAGTCAAACTTCTGTCGGCACTCTGGGCCTCGGCACTCTGCACCGATTCTTTTTCTCACGTATACGTCTATGTCGATGTGTCCTCCGAGTCAATGCCCGTCATCTTGATGCCACCCAACGCTACCAGCCCGAGCTCTGAGGAGCAAGGCGTTGGTCGTGGTGCCGTCGCCACACTTCGCGGCATCGCTGATCTCCCTTGGGCCCCAGCGCTTGACATAGCACTGCACGCTGAAACTCACTCACGGTCCCCTGCATTGTCTCGGACATGCCTTGCAAGAGCGTCCGGAAGGCACGCAACTCAAGGCTTGGCAAGGCAAGCCTTCAGAAGCTCCAGCAGCCGCGTGTCAGAAGCCCCGTCACGCCGCGAATTGTGCTGCGAAGGGCTGCGGGGAAGGCTCGGGCTCGGGTGTGAGGACATCGATGAGGTCACGGCCTAGCAAAAAGCTCGGATCAGCAAGCTGCAGGGCAGCATCCAAAGCACCGCGGGTCCTGCAAGACTGTCGGCATGCTTTCAATTTGAAAGGCTGCCTGAACGGTCGGATGGCACAGCGCCAACGCTGGTGCTCAATGCGACTCGACTTGGGTCGCTGCCCATCTGAGTTTTGAAATCATTGAACTGCCCCGATAATGCGGTTTACCACCGACCTGAGCTCGGCAACGAGTCTCGTGCGATTGTGCGAGTCGAGCACCAGCGGGCAGTCCAAGGGCGTCCCGCATTTCTCCAGGTGAGGACATCTGAGAACGATCAGCTCTTGGGAGCTCTCATGGCCCCCACACCGCTCCTGTGCGGATGCTTCTTGGCATGGTTCTTCAACGTTCGAGGCAGCTCGTCGGTCCGAGTTCCCTTCCTAGACAGTCCGAAACGAAAGCGACGGACGCAACTGTCGGCGAACTCTCACATCACTCACGTTACGTCGTCACGTGGACCGGACCTCGCGCAGCACGGGGTTGACGGCACTCCTCAAAACCTGCCGCCCGCGGTGTGGAGGAGGGACTTCCCTAAGCACCCATGAGTACCTGCTTGGATTTCTCTTGCACCTTTTTCTCCTCGTCATCCTTCGGATCTCTGGGATAGTCCTGGGGCGACTCGAGAGAGATGCAAAGGAGATGCCAAGCGGGAACGAACTGTTTCCGAGAAGTTCCTGTGCCATATCGCTGACCCTGCAGCTCCTCGATGTGTTCCTGGCAGAAGCACGAGCTTCGGGCAATCACGGTGCCAAGCATGCACACAGCCGCATGCACTGCAAGTGTGGGCCTGCAACTGCGGCACACCAGCACGGACATTCGGAAGCTTGCTGATGTTGCCCTGCTGTTCCATACTTCGCAACGACATGTAGATTAGGGTTTAGGGTTTAGGGTTTACAGATTCAACCGACTAGCCCCTTGGACTTGCCACTCCTGACGGAACATCCACCTCCGGCTTTTGACAGAGCTTCTCAAGGTCTGACAGTGCATCTCGAAGTGCTTTTTGAGGTCCTAATCTCTCTAGGAACAAGGTGATGGTCCTCAATGGAAAGCAGTTCAACCAGAACCGTTGTCTCTACAGGACTGCTCGCCTTGCTGCCACAGAAATGTCCGACGTCTCCACCGGACAGACGCCTTCGAAATGCTCGAAAGTCAAGGGTGGCACCTGCAAGCCAAGGGCGAGCAGCTAGCCGGGAGGATCAACAAGAGAGAATGGGTCGCCAACATCGGCGCTTCATCTTCGCCCTCTTCTCTTCGGCCAAGCTTTGGGCAAGGCTAAAAACGAGCAGGCTCAGAGGACTCACGTTGACGCACGGACCATCCCACACCCCGAGAAACCTGGCTCCTCTGACTCACCGCTTAACAGGATGTCGAGTCTCTTTGACGTATCCTGCACGTTTCTGAACCAAAGAGTCGGATTGTGAAGGAGTCACTCTGAAGAAAGATCACTGGCTCGAGCCTGGCCCAATGCTGTCGGCCTGGCCGGGCCAACGACACGCACCTAGGTCCAGAAGAAACGCGAAGCCACGCGCGCGGAGCTGTCAAGGGACGCTGCTCGCCGCACTACTTCTCATGCTGGAGATGTGAGAGGATCCTTGCCGAGCCCATCCGTACCTTTAAGCCCCAGGCACCCCATGTGCGATAGTCGATGATCTGGCAAGCTGTTGCTGCTAGGGAGGCCGATGTACAGGAGCATTCAAACACTGCTGTCCTGACCTGTTCTGCGACTGATTACTGCTCGCATAGCCGCGTGACTGGTCTGCAGCTCCTTTTTTTCAACTCTTTGCGTCGTGTCCATAAGTGCGGCCGGCACACGCCCCGCAGGACAGTGGTTCACCATTCACTTGCAGAGTAAAGTGAGTAAAGGTCTGTCTTTTGAGTGCGAAAGCAGTGCTGTGCCAAAAGATTTTCACATCTTGTCATGTAATTGAGACTGCACTGCTACACTTACGAAAGAACCTCAAGAATTCGTGTGTCGTGTGCAGCTTGGTGAGAAAAGCCTCAAAGCTCAGCAGCGGCACGTCTTTCTTCGACTCGCATTGCTCACGAATGACCTGATCAACCATCCCAAAGTCTGCAACACCGTCTTTGCCGAGGAATGCGTGGCAGGTACACAAGACCTCTTCCTGAAGGAACCCAATTCTTGCCCACTAGACCTTAAACCCTAGCTCTGCATCCTGAACCCTTTCACCTCTCGCTCCTCCATCCCAAGTTGCTAAGCCTGAGCTTTGCAGCAGAAACCCTCGCCACACCTCTACACCAAGAGCTCCACGGACTCCTCCCGCTCCAAAGCGGGCCAGTGACGCTCCACGTCCTGCAGCATGAAGAAAGCAGATCTTTAACTAGGTCGCAGGACTGTGAGGTAAATGGTTCGGGGGTTGACCGCTTCGACTTAAGTCTGCAGTCCACGAAACAAGCTTCAGAGCTTCGCATTGCGTGCGGAATGCGAAACTGCACACCTGGACACAGTATGCCAGGCTGCTCGAAGAAACCGTTCCGCACTTCTTCGTCCCTGGCCTTGAACAGGCGAAGTGCCAGCGCATCGAGGCCATCTGAGCAGCGATGCTTAGTCAATCGCCATTCTTTTGTTTCCCCGCCGACTCTACTCTGAGCCCACATCCAATGTCTCGTATTCCCCGCAAGCAAACAAAGAGTTACATCCGTCTCCTCAAGGAGGAAAGGCTACAACGTCCCTACGATCTTTGCGGGGAACTACCCGCCCTTCCTCCAAGGAAGAGCCGGGCATCGCTTCGTAGAGGTGCGTCAGGGTGTACATTTAGGGTTTAGGGGGTCCAAGGCTACATGCAGGACTTGGACAAGAAGCCTACGAACTTAATTTGCAGACTCTCTTGTGGAGGGTGTGAGAGAGAAGTTCTTGCAAGTTCAGGCAGGACTCTGCCCCAATCCTCAGCGTCTCGTCTGTGCAAAACCTTTCAATAAAAGCCCCTAAACCCTAAACCCTAAACCCTTACTTAACCCTAAACCCTAAACCCTAAACCCTTACTAAACCCTAAACCCTAATTAAACCCTAAAAGCCAGAAGATTCAAGACAAGATGAGCGAACCGCAAGAAAGTCTGGCCAGTCTGGCCTGGGCGTAAGACCTGCACGCCAGCCTGAGCAGAACTGGGTTTTCTTGGCTGTCTTGGCTTAAGGGTTTAGGGTTTAGGGTGAAGACTTCTCCGCAACCGGAAGGAGAAGAATCACAGCACCTGTCCTACAAAGGCGGCCCACTTGCAGAGCTCAGGGAACCTACCAAGCCTCCATGTGCCACACCAGCCCCCAAGAGTACTTTTTACCGAAATAATTGCTTCTCTGGGTTTTATGCCCCTTATTTCCTCAACTAAATCAAACCCCACCATTCAGGTAACTGGAGTTTTATTTGGTGGAGGGTATTCCTTTATTCCCGACGAACCACCTCTAAGTTTAGAGATCTTGCAGTTTGCCACCCAAGTCGCCAGGACAAACGGCGCAGCCAGCGCTCCGCGTGCCAGGGCCACCCACCCCTGGGCGAAGCCGATGGAAGCCGCAGCCAGACCTAAGCTCTTTGAACCCAAAGCTACCCCTGCTTTGGAAGGGGTGCTACAGGGATTAGGGATAGTAGAAATTAGAAAAAGTTTTTCAAAACAACCCCTCAAAGCTCTTCAAAACATTGCTCTACAGTCTGCTCTTGGACATGCCAGGGAGCAAATGAAGCAGAAACACTGCAGGTCGTTCACCTGAGAGAGGGCTTGAAGCGTATGTCTACGGCCTAGCAATGCCAGAGAAGCTAAGGCCACTAGCTTCCACAGCCGGGCAGTACTCTAGCAACATCCCCGGAGCACAAATCTACATATGGCAACTTCAACATTGATCCTGAAATAATGCAGGCACTATGGTTGATAGTGCCCCAAAATTTGCTTTCGAGTCCAGCCCTGGATCCCGGCCTGGCGCTGTCTGTAGGGCTGCAGAGTACCAACGGCAATGGCCGTCACGAGCGTGAAGCACAAAGTCAGCTTGAGGCCGCTCTCTGTGGAGGCCACCTCAGCTACCGCGGACTCGTGCACCGGCAAAATGCTGACGCGGATGCGTGCGCCAATTGTTGCAATATGAGTACCCTCTTCTAAAACTTCTTCATGGGGGCATGGGCTCCTCGCAGGACATTGGAGGGCAAGACTGGACTAAAGGCTCGTTTTTGGATTTGGGCTTCCCATGGAAATCCCAGGCCACAACGGGCCTGGACGAAAGCAGCCTGCCTTCAAAGAAGTTCCCACAGCATGGAACATGGGGAACAATCTGGATGAGAGCATCCCAGGCACGGCAACCAGGATGACAGCCACAAGCTTCATGGCAACTTCGAACCATACGTCACGAATCATCGCCTCGTAGGGCCGATTGCGGCTGTCAACAGGGTACCATTCCAAAAGTCTCCTGAATCTCACCTGCAAAGAGAAGTCTATGCCACCAAATTATGTAATCCCCTCCCTCCAATACAACCCCCCTCAATATTAAATATTCTCCTTGTGGTATGGCAAAGTATCTTGGGAATATCTAATATTAGGCGGAGGGGGTTACTGCGGCTGAGCTCCATGATGTTTACAAGTTTGGGCTCCAGTGGTCTTACTCAAAACTCGCAGTGTCTCGAGCAGCCACGCGGCATATTTGAACAGCAGCTCCTTAGCCCCGGCCAGAACTCCTCGGATGGTTGTATTTGTTGAAGTTTCAGGTTTCACCAGCTACCACAGCACTAATCCGCCAAGTCAACCCTGGTTGAGTTTTTCTTTCGCGGGGACTTTGAACACCATGCATACACATGTAGCTAAGGACAACAAAACTAATGCTGGAGGCAAGGCAAAATCTACACCCCCTTCGCCATGCAGCTCAAGCTAAGGCGGATAAGTTTACACAGGCTCCAGGTTGCCCCGGGCATCAGAGCGGTATTGGTTTGCCAAAGCGAGCTTTTATAAAGCACGACAGGAGAGCCCTGCATGTCCAAACAAATGCGACAGGAACCAAAGAAGCAGCGCTAATCAATACCGACAGGAGCGGCTCCATGCGTCCCACTCGGCTTGCGAAAAGCGGCTGCTGCGAGAGCGGTGCCACTCGTCCCACTCAGCCTGCGTGTAATCTTTGTACAGCGGCATATAAAGGTAGTGGGCGACCCCTTTGGGGTGGCTTTGTTGGGAGCCGAGACTTCGCGGTTCTGAGCAGCGAGTCTCTCAGTGGATGCGGCCTGATGCTCGGCGCTGGTAGCACTGTCATCGACAATGTGCATCACCTCCTCGGCCATGGCATCTGCTGTTTCTCCATTCAGCCTCACTTCGCCATCAAAGGTCAATGCGGCGAGCCTCGGGCGTGTGGAGGGCGATGTCACAATGTACAGGCGCTGCCGGCATCATCGATGAGACGCAATGTGCGCAAGGGCTCCACTTCGCAGTGGGCACAAAAGACCAACTTTCCCGGAGGGATGCCTTGCTCCGTCGAGGAGTAATGCGATCCAGCACGGCGATCTTCCATGATCTGCAAGCGTCTGTCTGATTGGGGAAATCGGGTAGCTTCACTGTCTCGGCTTCCTTAGCCTTGGGCTTGTCATCATCGGTTTTACCGATTGCGGCTCGGAGTGTAGAGGGGAGGAGGTCGCTAGTGGCTTCCTGTTTGGGGGCTTCATTAGACTTCTGTTCAACATCTAGCGCTTGGTCCTCCTTCTCGTGGATGCCATCACTGATGTTATGCACCTGCGGTTTTCCCAGGAATGAATGCCTACAAGTCGTGCAGGGGTCGGAGAGACTTCCACGGCTTAGTGGAACCCTGTACACTCTGAACTGCTGCAGCAGACGATGTGGCGCTACCTGGCGGTGGGCTAGGATTCTGATGCTCACTCTCAAACACTTCACCGACACCTGCTCCGGGTAGGGCTCCAACTTGCGTTGGGCGATTCCGCTTTTCGGCAAGCTCGATCCTTAGTGAGTCTGCCTCAGCCTGCAATCCGGCATTTTGCTCCATCAGATCAGTAACCAAATCATCAGGCTGCATTTCCTCAGCCTTCAACCTCTGAAAACACTCATTCTCTTCCCACTGAAGCTTCTCCTCAAACCTCTCAGCTACATACTCACAAAGCGTCGAGCGAATATCATCGCACGATTTCCGAAGCTGTGCTGTTTGTAGCTTCTGGTGCCTCAGCGCCGTTTCAAAGTGTAGTGCACGAGTGGTGAGGGCCATGTTCTGGGAAGTGAGGTTGGTCGCCGCTTGC